CAACATGGGAGCTACATGCTCGTCGGTTTATTCAACCTTAGATTCCAACACAAAAATAGAACTCGGCGCAAGTATACACCTCGAACTACTGTCGTCTCGTAATAGATAATATCAATGCATGGTGTACAATGTATAATTAAAATTAATTTTCAATGTATATTAATTAATATTAGTAGTATTTAAATTTTATTTGTAGTTAATAGTAATAACAACAATTAATATTACTGAAGATTATAATTGAAAAAAGTGATAGTAAGCTATCAAAACCCTATTTTAAGTAGCGTTTCAATACACTGATTTATGTGTATCCAAACATGTATCCAGAAAACAAGGTAGTTGATTTTTACCAAATAATGGCTAAATATACTTTTGCTATATTGATGGATCTTTTTTTAACCGGTTTCTCTTTCATTCTCTTGTCAAATGTAGGATATTCAAACCTAAAATTGATAAAAATGTTTTTCTATTCACCATTTATCAATCTTCCATCTCCTCACTCATGCATAATTTCGGATTTGAAAAATACTCAACCCCTTTAAAACTTACAACCATTACTACCAAAATCTTAACCATTAATTTCATGATCAAGTTACAACAGATGTGAGAGCAATTAATACCTTCAGTTAAAAGAACAAAAAGATAAAGTGGTAAGATTTACATGAGTTGTAAATTAACTTTGGGCTATTTATATAGGGGGCCTCCTTTTAAGAACCCATGAAATTGTGATAATCTTGAAAACTTGTGCATCATGTTTTATTTTGTATGATTTTTTTTTTATCTAAGACTAGAATTTAAAATATTGATCAACATTTATTTGTTTTATATTGTTTTTGTTTAACATGTACTCAGTTCACAATATGAATATTTTTGACATATTTGTGAAACACAAAATGCATGTAAAAAAGTTTCACGTCATAACCCGAGTACATATGAAACAATTATAATGTGAAACACATATATGTTAATCAATATATTAAATACTATATTTAGACAAAAATATCATGTAAGACAAAACCTTAAGGTAAAAGTCCTCACGAATCTCAAAAATTTTTGAAGTCGTCAAATGCTTAAGCTCATGTATATATATATATATATATATATATATATATATATCCAACCCCTTTTTAGTTTTGTATGTCATCCTCTACTCCTTTAGTATACACATTTCTCTTCTAAAGTATCATTTCCATAACACCGTGGGATCACTAAAACGAACCACATATCAAGATTTGAGAATGCTCAAACTTGATTGTGTCACATCATACTCTTTGGTTCTTACTTTTATAAATATAAATATATTTTTAACAAAAAATTATTTATGTTTTGTTTTGTATATGGAAATTAAATTGTAATTGTCAATTTAGGAATATTATTGGAAGTGAAATCTCAAATCGTCAAAATGAACTAGAAAAATAGAAAAATAGGTCAAGGGTGGATGGGTAGAGAGTTAGTTATCAGAGTTTTGACATGATGTTGATTCTTTTGTAGAAGACATGGTCAACTCCAAATATTCTGCAAGAATCATCCATTCAATCAGCCTCAGTGGTCTGTTCAAGACAATGACACACATGACTATTTGAATCATTGTATGAATATTTCATTAAGTCACTATTCATTGGATGTTGCACAAATTTTCTAACATAGTCTTCAATGAGACACTTACTCTTATGTCAATAATGACATGTTTGTCTTATTATGTTAAGATATTGTAATAAGTAAATCTTACCAACCTAGCAAACAGTCTCTTTATGAGATTAATTTTGTAATGTAAAAGGTATTATATAACACATTAACGTTTTAATATATAAAAAACAAGGGATTTTTTAATACAATTGTGAAATATTTTTACCTGCTAATCTATATATAGACAGATACGAGTGTCCATTAAGTAGTGTTTTAATTGGACGATTAATGTTAAATAAGTATTTACAATTAAAAATCCTAATACAAACGTATTTTGACAAGTTTATTAATTAGAATGAAACTATTCAAACAAGAATTATGTCAACATAACAAATTTTGTTGTTCCAGTGGAGAAAAATACATATACTTTTTTGGGGTAAGCGTGGGTCTTCGGGCTATGTGCACCGACTAATCTTCTCGTGACCACGAATGGTCTGGAATCATCGCATGTGAACCTCCATGACCACAAAGGCTTTTAGATATAGGACACTTCTTTTAGAGGTCATACATAGGACACTTCCTCGGTGTTGGAGATCATTTTTACACATTGAGAAAAACATTGGTGGTCTCGCCTATCTAAATTCGAACTAGTAAGGTTTAGTTGCTTACATTTGTAATTGTTCAACAGTCAAACTCGCTCCGTGGAGGGTGATAGATGTTTCAAGCTTTTGATAGGTACATGCTAGTGCAGTGACGGTTTGAGCGATACACTTTAGCCTAAGAAGTGAATCGAGTGTTGTTTTGTTAATCCTATTAGTGAGATTTCTTGATATTAGCTTGTGTTTACTTGATTGCATGAGCTTATAGGACATTTCACAAAATAGTTAAGACGACACTTTATTTTTAAAGCGTCCTAAAAACTTGTTTAAATGCCCAAAAACGTCTATATAACACTACTAGAATAATGGGTATTTCCGGCGAGATTTCCGATTGAACATTTCCGGCGGACATAAAAAAAGTCAACTTCTGTTGACTTCCGTCGGAAATCCGCCGGAAATATTATTATGGTAATATTTCCGGCGGATTTCTTAATTAATTATTTTAGAGTTGTATAATAATTTACTGCTGGATTTCCGACGGATTTCCGTTGGAAATAACCCCCTGTTTGGTAGTGTAAACTTAAGTCTTATATAAAGTATTCTATTAAAACGTTTAAACATTCTAGGTTTTCTACCGGGGCGGATGTAGCATACCAAAAGTGGGAGGATGGGTCCCATTAAAAAAAAAAAGAAATCTCAATTATTTAGGTTAAAAACAATTTTTTTTAACTTTCTACCATAGTCGCCAATAAATTTTTTCCCTGGGCACCCACCAACCAAAAAAAATTACCTTGAAATCAACATAAAAAACCAAAAAAGTATCTCAAAATCAACAACAAAAACGAAAAAAGTCCCTTTAAATCGACAAAAAAAAACTTAAATATCTCTCGAAATCAAACAAAAAACTCAAATTTGAATGATTGTGCAAAGAAGAAAAACAAAACATTAAAACAAAGGTGCTGCCAAACACGACTCGAGGCTTGACAACTCAAATTTGAAAATCCTAGAGAGAGAAAGTAATAGAAATTGCTAGCATTAACATAATAATTTAGATACACAAATTAATACTTACTATAATTTAGTACATAATTTTATTGCATCTTTTAATTATAAAGATCTGCTTATGGTGATCAAAATAGCTTTCATACCGTATATGAATCGATAAAAATGGTCTTCTTTTCTTGAACATGCTCTTGTGCAAAGTACTTAAGATCAGTGGCATGCTATTAATTTACCAATCTTATACCTTCCAAATCTGTTGCAACATCTTTCATATTTGGCCGTAGCATCCTGTTCAAATTTAAGCATCTTTTTGCAAGGTTTGCAACTGCTATGAGTTGTTCCTTGGGTGCATCTGATACTCGATCATCAACGTTTTCCACAAGTTGTTCATCTTCCATTGACAAAATGAAGGTTGCCAAACTCATTCTCTCCCCATAAGGTGTTCTGAAGATAGGGTTTTTCCCGGTCAAGAGCTCAAGGAGAACAACACCAAAGCTATATACATCACTTTTTTCAGTAAGATGGCTTGATTGGAAGTACTCTGGATCTAAATAACCCATGGTACCTTTGACTAAGGTGCTTAGATGGGTTTGATCACCTAATAATGACTTTGAAATTCCGAAGTCTGATATTTTTGCTCTAAATTTGTCATCCAAAAGAATGTTTGAAGATTTAATGTCTCTATGATAAATCGGTGCGAAAGTTGCCGAATGTAAATAAGCAAGAGCTCCTGCTATCTCTATAGAAATTTGCAACCGCAATTTCCACAAGGTAGGGAACTCATAATTCTCGTCGTGGATGAAGTCAAAAAGAGTTCCATTACCAACAAATTCATARACAAGCATTGGAACTTCGGTTTCCAAACAACACCCCAGAAGCTTAACCACATGTTTGTGAATGATTTGGGATAGTATAAAAACCTCATTGATAAAGGTTTCAACTTGACTCTCATCCACCAACATCGACTTCTTTACTGCTACTATCCTTCCATCTGCCAGCATTCCTTTGTAAACTRTCCCTTGACCCCCTCGGCCGACTATTCTGTCCTCATTGAATTGGCCAGTTGCTTTCTCTAATTCTGTTGCATTGAAAAGCTTGATTTGATGATCAACCATCCGCTCACCACTAGACATTTGTTGTTGTAGGAGTAAACCACCATTTCTTTTGAAGAATTTCTCTTTGAGATTCTTAACTTTCCTCCTTTGCACTACTTTGAGTAGCCACAATGAGAAGATTAGTAACATTATGCCCAAAAGAGCACCTGCACAAGTATTAACCCTGATATAAATTTCTTAGCTAACATGACAAAACAGACTAACTATATAAAGACAGTTATTCGAAGAGAATTAAATTAGTGAGAAGAAAAGTAGCTAGGAATTACCTATAGCTAACCAGACAGCCAATAGGGATGTATTAACCCTGATATAAATTTCTTAGCTAACATGACAAAGCAGATCAACTATATAAAGACAGTTCTTCGAAGAAAAGTAGGTAGGAATTACCTATAGCTAACCAGACAGCCAATAGGAATGTATTATGTCCTCGTCGACAACCATCTCGAATTTTGGGATCACCAGAATACCCTCCTTTACATTTGCATGTGTAATTCCCCTCAGTGTTAACACAAGTTCCAAAACAGGGAAACTTCTCTGGATAATGACACTCATTGATATCTAAATATAAAGGAAATTTCAACAAATTGTTAAGGCAAATTATATAAGTAGAGTTCTTTGTAATTAATTTTTTTTAATTATAAACAGTAAAATAAAAATTAGCCAAGACAAAAAATTATAAATTATTTTGTTAGAGGATAGTTGATCCTTGCACTTCAAAAAAGTGTAAAATTTTCGTTGTAAAAAAGAAAAAGTGTAAAATTTTCATTGTAAAATTTTTAATCGTAGAAAAATAACCGGTTTAGACTCCGCCCTTTTTTAATCGGTTGTTTCCAGAACCGGTTACCCCGGTTCTCAATCAAATAATAATACAGATTTCGTTATGAAAATTGATAACAAAACCAAGACAAAAAAAAACATATCAAATAATATAGATTCCATTATGAAATTCCCGACCCATTTGTGAAGGATTTGTGACAGAACGGAAGAAGTCAACATTTTGTTGACTTCCACCATAAATTTGTTACTGTATTTTTGTATGATCGCGTTCATTGTATAGTCATGATCAATAGGGACAAATCAAGACATGTTTTACGCTCTTTTTTGTCCTCCAGTTCACAACGAAAAATAAGGTTGCAACTGAAACCTTATTTAAGAAACTAAGAGAATGACTGAATCACATATGATTTTACACTAAAATCACGTACAAAATCACATGTGATTTATGCTACTTTGCCACAAGGCCATAGGGTCCTCCACACTTTTTTGACCATTAATGTAAAATCAAATGTGATTTTGTACTTATTTTGGTCATTCTAGTATTTTCTTTAAATAGGTACTCTTCTCACTTATATATATACACACACATGCATGCATAATCATTTACAGACCTAATAATTAATTCATGCATGAAACACACATGAAAATTAGTTTGCAAGTTTATACGAATTATTTAATTTACAAAAGAAGGTGACTCTGTCTGTCTATATATATATATATATATTGTCATCAAGTTAGTTGTATTTAAAAAGTTCGTTATAAATAATCATACTTCTTTTTGCTTTAAGTACAAATCATAATGCGTTATTTGGATGTAATAAATTTCTAAAATATACACCAAACCCATTGAAGTTGAAGGAAATCTTGTGCAGAAATATAAATAATAATTTGTGACAACAATCACAAAAGAACGCAAGTCATTACCTTTACAGCCAGGAGATAGATACGGATTTCCTTCATAGCCTTCATCGCAGATGCAACGATACCCACCGCTTTCCCTTGTAGAATTAACACACTTACTATTTGAATACTGGCACACGAAACCGTCCACTGCTTTGGCTTCAATGCAACTGAGATTACCAATAGCCCATTCAAGCACTATTGGGACACTAGCTTCAATCTTTTCAGCCAAATGAATGTCGTTTAAAGATGTTAGACCATTGAACTTGTATGCGTTCTCCTCACCAACAAACGCATATGTACAAGGGTTAAAAGACCTCATGTACCTTGTGTTGTTTGAATCCGTGTGGGGATTGAGCTCAGTTTCATAGTAGTTTATGTCTTTGGGTAAGGACGATTGACAACAACCATTTCCTGAACATTGGTCACCTACAACATCCTCAGGTGTTGAACAAAAGACCATACAACCGATAGACACATTCCTAGAATTCGTTTCTGAACTCAGCCAAGCAGAACCATCACAGCCGATGACGGTGAACTTATTTACATCCGACAAGGTATAAGGAGAATCCTTAGAACCCATGCTAATGCTAAATCCCCCTAAATAAGTGCCGTTTGATGAATAGCATCCAGTAGCCACATTATTGGAAGTCCGTAGTGTGGAATCATATATCCGTGTGATTGAGTTGTAATGATCTTCTACAAAAGACAGCTTTGGAGGGCTGAAAGAATTGTCACAGTAGATGTCAAACTCATGGCTTATAGAACAATTTGTGTTGTTACCGATGCCAAAAGGGTAGGGAACAATTACATCTCCACAATGGCTGGAGCAATTTGGCTTTGCTAAATTCTTTGCGTTAATTAGGGTGTATGTTTCAGAGGTGGAATTTGTATGAGATGCAGTAAACAACGTGGGCATTTGAAGTAGCACCCACATTAGAAAAAGGGTTTTCATAGCTTTGTTTTGTGGCTTAATACAAGTGGAGTAGTATTCGAGTGGTTTCCCAGGTTAACCTTATATAGGCCACGATACATGGAGTAAACTTCATTTTCGGTCCCATTACTAACAAATTAAAAAGCTCACATCGATGTAATTAACTAAGTAACCAATTACTTCTATTATTATGTACATAGAATATATTCTGTACAATATGTACGTTAATATTACCTTGAAAAGAGATTGTTAATCAATAATTATAGGTAAAATGGACCCTCTAAACTCCATGAGTAAAAAATGACTCTTGGAAATCTATCAATAAAAAGGTCCATCAAGTCCATGGGCGAACCTACCATGGTGGTTACGGTGGCACGTGCCACCGTATTATTTCTCCGTCGAAGGGTAAAAAAAATTTAGGTTTGTGAAAGGTGCAACCGTATTAATCTGTTGTGTCACCGTATGTATTTTGAAACTACAATGAGAACAAGTTTTAAGTTTTTTATAACATTTAAAGTTAATATGCATTTTCTTTGATTACTGGAATTCTATTTGGTTTTAAATATTTTGAAAACTAATCGTTACCGAGAAAGATAAAAATTAAAACTATCCATAAATTCCAAAAAACTCACCAGCCATCGCCATAATATATTTTTCTCACTGCTATTGATAATTTATATCTTATTGTTATTTTTATTATAAATTCAAAATTCTTGGATATAAATTAAGTACGATGAATTGAATGTATTATTAATTAAAGGAAAAATAAGTGGGATTATTTATGAGACGGTTAAGTATTTGATGACTATGAGATGATGTTTGTAAAGTAAAAAAGGTTTATGGAATACTGATTCGTCATGAAAATTAATAAAACAATGAAGTATTTCATACGTTAAATAATTATCCCAATCTAGTAGACGTGTTTATTATATATTCAAGATTTATTGATAATGAAATACGTGTGTTTTGGTTATTTATTTGTCTTCCAACAAACTAAAACTGAATTCTTATTTGATTATTCATAAACTGTCATATTTCTATATCGTGTATAGCAAGTTTATAGGCAAATAATCCAAGTCATCACAATAATTATGATAAAACATACTAAACGAATGCAACTTGCAAGTGGGGTTCCTTTCCTTTTGTAGAATTTAAAATTGTATGGTTCCATACATTCTACATGTAAATGTTTAGAAATGACCCATTACATGTTTTTTTAACCGTTGGTTTTCAAGCCAGCTTACGCACACTGACTAATCACCTGGGCTACCACGAATGTCTTAAAGTCATCGCAAGTGAACCTCCATAGACACAAGGGCTTTGGGAACTCCTGGATTCGAACTAGGGTAGATGAGATTTTCCACTACACCCCTTGCGGCTTAACCAGTGCATCATAACCCAAGTGGCTATAATTATTTTTAATGAAGGCGAGGCTAAATTTTATTATTAGGGAAAAACTAATACAAGATAGAGCAGAAAAGTTCTCATACAAGTTATTATAATTAGTATAGTAGTTATAGCTGCAAATACAATTGTGAACTCTAACTACGGTAAAGCTATCTTCCTTTGATAATTTGTGGACTACTAGCCAGTAGATGTCTTTCTCGGCCTAAGTCGAGTCGAACCTGGTCGTGTCTCACTTGTAAACCTACCGTGGTGTTGTCAAAGGCTATCATGTGTTATCTATGATGTCGTTGAAGATGAACATTTGGACATAAAAAAATATACTCSAAAGGTATAGTTTTCAGACTTGCGTACTCTAGACGATATTTAGCAAATTATCACATATGCGTCAACATGCAAGTGACAAAAATATTTTATGGATTATAAAAGGGTTGTTTATTTTCTTTGGTCAATTTTGTCATTGTGCAAAATTTCACACCATTGTCCATTTGATATATAGAAGGTATCGTTGATCGTTATTTATTGGATTATATATATATATATATATATAATCCAATAAATAACGATCAACGATACCTTCTATATATCAAATGGACATTGGTGTGAAATTTTGCACTATATAATGTAGATAAATAGATAGGGATCATTCAAGAGAGAACTGATTAGTTTGTAGTAAACGTGAGATCCAATGTGAACCACTCGTTTGAAATATTTATGGATATTTCTTAAATAAGTTAAAAATGTAATATAATAATTCTATTTTAAAGAGTTAGAATGAAAGTGTCATAAGAACCAAACTTTGCAATAGTGTTTTGCTGTTTGGAAAACTTATTTCAGAGACTTTATTGTTTTGCAACTTTTATCTTTCACTATGCTAAATTGGGTAGTCATTAATTAGTTTCTTTCTTGTGCTAATGAGCAGGATTTAATTTTTTCGTAACGAAAATGTCCATTTGCTCTAGTTTATTGATCATAAAGGGGCATGAATAGGGTGGTTTTAATGGCACGTTGTGTTCTCTGTTAATAACTAATATGAAATTAGCCATGTCTATATGAACCAACACTTTTCTTATGTCGTTCTGCTGTCTCAGAACAATGAAGAATTATAGGAAAGAGATATAATGAAGATTGATTGATTAAAAAACTCATTCGTGTGCTTTTTTAATTGCTTGAATGTTTTGTATCTTTGATGGTTATTCTTGGTTACACTCGAGTACCAATAAGTGACAAATAAAACTTTGGACATCTAGTATTGCATGAAATAATTCACACAAGCAATTAGTTTTTGGTTCCAAACATACGACAATACGAAAGATTTTTGTTTTAGTGGCTAGTGAATCGCCAAATTTGGAGGGTACTACAGACCAAATAATACATATTTAGGTGTCACATTTAGTTATTTTGCGCATTATATTTAAAAGATATATGTTTGTCCCGCCAAGTTTTTATTAATTAATGGGAGGGACGTGATCAATTATTAAAATCAAAGTCGAGGGAGGGACCAATTATGTTATAAAAGTGAAAGTAGACTGAGAGACCACATGAACTTAGAGAGAGATGAATGGTTAATGGACAAAATACTCTTACTTACGGCACTCTAATTAACGGCATTCATATCCATTATAAAAATGAAAACATGGCAGTAAGGACCAATTTGCATTTAACTCTACATTATTTGAAGTTTAATCACTATATGTCATTGAGATAATGTATATTTATAAGTGAATATTATACATATATTATGAGAATAAAATAAAGCCAGTAAAAAATTAAAATGTATGCGGATACGGGCATTAAACTAAAGATGACATAATGTTTGGTTTTAATATATTTTTTAGTTAAAATAATAATTATATAAAAAATAATTTCTTTAAAAAATAGCAGGGATGGATTTGGTATGGTACCGGGTTTTTTTCTTCAATATCGTGTACCAATCAATTACAATAGATACATAAAATCTTATATCATGTACCAATCAATCGTTCTTGATTGATACCATCTTTTTTTGGTTGGTACATGTGGTTATTAGTTTTGTACCAACTTCAAATTATGCATATGAAAGCCTGCACTTCCGTTCAAAAATTAGAGTCACATTTTGAGTTAATAGGTAATACATATCATGCTTAAGTGTTTTTTAATTGCATGCAATTAATTCATAACCGTCCATTCAATCTTCATTTAACTCGCATAATTGCCATAGGTTTTTTTTTGAGTCGTGATCATAAAGCTTGGATAATGTAGATCAGTTCCCCAGGTCCCAAAAATAATTGTGATTCTTAAATGTTTCCAATTCTTAAATGTTTCCTCTATATGTTTGTGTGTCTATATTGTAGGGAAAATTCCAAAAATACTCAATGGACTTTACTCTTAGGAACAATAAAGTCGTTGGATAATTTTTTGGAACAAATAAATCTTTGGACATTCTAGAATTTATTAAATTACTCCTTAGACTTTTTAAAACTTGTTAAATAGATCCTCATTCTCTGAAAATGTAATTTGTAACCTGAATAGGAGGTAAACCTCGAATTAAAAAAAAAAACCCTAAGAATATCCTAAAATAAGATGACTTTGTCTCCACACCACCGTTTCCCTCTCGTCTCCCTCATGAGACCACACCACCGTTTCCCTCTCGTCTCCCTCATGAGACCACACCATCGTCTCCCTCTCATCTCCACACCACCATCTCCCTCTCGTCTCCTTCATATGACCACACCACCGTCTCCCTCTTGCTGCTTAACGCGTCTACACCACCGTCTCATCGCGGGTCCCTGCTGCACCACCCCCATCGCCGTCGCACAACCCCTGTTGCCACCGCACCACCCCTATCGCCGCTCGTCACCATACACCACCATCCCATCGCTGGTCGGTGCTGTTGCACCGTCCCTATCGTCGGTCGCCGTTGTAGTTTGATCTAATCAGTTAAAGTACAACACGATGATAAAATCCCATATCAGGAACTCAAATTCAAAACCACAAGTGGGTTTTGAGATTTATGCTAAAATGAAAAGAAATAGGATTGATTGTGATAATTATACATACCCATTTGTGTGGAAGGCATACAAGTTCATGTAGAAGTTGTGAAAGTTGGGTTTTTTTATTCGAAATTGTTTGTGATAGATGGGTTGATTGGTATGTATGGTAACTGTCTCCAGATGAGTTGTTCTAGGGTTTTATTTGATGGGTTTCATAGGAAGGATTTGGTATCATGGAACTTGATGTTGAGTGGGTACGCAGGGTGTGGTGATATAGTGGAAGCACAGAAGATGTTTGATCAAATGTTTAAGAGAGATGTTATCTTTTGGTCCATTATGATTGATGGGTACGAGAAGGTTTGCAACGTTAATCATACATTAAAAACATCTTGATTTATTACAATTCTCTTCTGATTAAATTGTACTAATTTTTTTGTGTGTGTGTTCTTGTGTTCTTTTTAGAAACTAGGTGACATTACTCGTGTTCGGTCGCTCTTTGACCGAATGCATAAACGTGACTTGGTTTCATGGAATACCATGATAGATTCATACGCAAAGGTAGGAGATATGGTGGCAACTCTGGAACTATTTAATGAAATGGAACATAAGAATGTACTATCTTGGAGT